TTTCTTACATTTTCCTTGCATTTTTCTTACCACAACCATCTTCGTGTCAAGTTTTGGTATTCTTTCCAGGAATCCGTTAAAAATAGGCTGACATGCTTTTTCTAGCCGGATATTTCTAAGACTTTCTTTAAATATCCTTTTCCCTCGCCTAAAGAGATCTTTGGTGTCAAACAAATTTTCATCAAAACCAACTAGGTTTTATTCACCTTTTGAATTCTTTTCGATTCCAAAAATGAAATTGAAATGGGTTTCAAACATTTCACGTGACAATGCGCTGTCGTGAACGTTTAGAATAAATGGCGAAGTTTTCAAACAAATCAGTGTTCATTTAGGAGATCATCTTACCCGCTTCAAATACAGGCAAGTCGTTCCAAATGACTTTGGTCTGTCCGTTGGCGAAATTCTGTCAGCTGACGATCGACAGTTAAACGCTTGGGCTTCTCTCAAAAAGGCACGTTTAATATTATCTCGCTCATGATTCCCTCCTTTGTAGCACTAGTCTTTTCAGGCAACTGGATACCGAAGTGAGCATGAGGAACTAGTTGAACTGAATCGTTACAAGAAAAAAGCTGCTGATTTGAAGAAAAAGCAACGCATTTTCTCTACAGACTTCGGAGGGTACGAAAAGCCTTATGTGACTATATGCGGTTCGAAATTAATTGAGACCTCATAGCTGTTCTAGGAAAAAATCCAAAAAGCTTCAAAGTCAACTTGTGGAGAGTGAAACGCCATCGAGCAATGCTGAGGTCAAGAAGAAAAAGAAGCACAATAAGGAAGCTGTTTCTCAGGTTGGTCTTTTCACTAGTTAATTATTAGATATGTTCTTACAGCCATATAAACGAAGCCCTTCTCTCAGTACTTCATTTTTCACCATGCATGCTTGCAATCGTAGTACCGCTGTGACGTGAAAAAGCTAGTGATTTGTAGCACCCAATGCGTTGTCATTCGAACTTATGTGCCTCTTTTAATCGATCTTCCTCAAAAAAGTACGCTTCAGTATGTTTTTGTCCTCTCGTGAGGGAAACGAGCCCGCTCGAAGATTAAAATTACAGTTCATATTAAATCAATGTTGTTTCTACTGCATAAAAAAATTTAAAACTAAAATTAAAAAATTAAATTTAAAAAAATTAAAATTAAAAGAGATGCAATTTAAAGTGAAATCTTTGTCAGAACAAATCCTCTCTGCGTCATTAACAACAATATGCTTTCATCTGACTAAGTGGAGGCGGAGTTGCAACTCATAATTCGTTGTTCTTGTTTCGCACTAACTCTCCACACGATCTCTCTGCTGTCAATCTCTAGTTGACTGCAAGCGTATTCCTTCTTGTGTATAGCCACCTCCTTTAACGAAAACCCACTGTTTGATACCATAGTCAGGCGGTAGTTTTTGAAGCATCATTAATTAATTAATGTGAAGTTGCTGTTGCGCCAGTGATGATTGATTATGTAGGCTCCAACAGCAAGGGAACAACATCTGTAGCTTGTGAAATAATTTATGTTATTTTCATAATCGGGTCCCTCTTTTCTTTTGTTCGCCTTCTTAGATACCTCTCCATGAAACTAATGTTGAAATTTTACCATTATATAGGAGGTATGTTGCTACTTGCACTATTTCGTAGGGCCTGAGATTTCCATATGCGCTTGCTTCTTCTAGTATTTTGGAAAAGAATGTGTTGGATCTGACCGGGATCGCTATCTCTCAGCCGTCACTATTAATGATCGATCGAGTCTCAAAAACTTTTAGGTTGCGCGTAAAATGTCTGCCAAAAGTTTCGCAATAGACCAGATTCTTTCGCGATTTTCTAGGATTTCCCATGGGGTTCCTATTGCAAGGACACTATCCACGCGTATAACATGTCCGACTGCCTAATCTATGCCTATATGGCCATGCAGTGACCGGATTGTCTACCGATATGAAACTCATACTTCTTTACGAGATCACTCCATCGCTGAAACCCATTGAAACTTGTATGTCCTTTGGCCTTAAAACCCTTCGAAGCTGTGCGAGAAACTTCGAGCTGTCCAACCGTTTGCGATATCATGAAATCTCTTGATGTGCTGTGTGCACACAAGGGAAGGGTGTCATTTTAAAGTTTTTTTTTGGTGGAAGCTTACAGAAAATCCCAGGAGGATTCCGACCATTGATATTTTGGCAGATATTTTCTCAATCCAATGAAAATAAATACTAACCTGCAGATTTACTTGCTTTGAATGAAAAAAATTGCTTCAAAAATGTTATTTTTTCCATTTGTTGTGTCCTACAACTTTTTTGAACATCTACGCTGATTATTTTCTTCATAGTCACATTTGATGAATATATTGCAAATGGTGATTAGCTAGAATTATAAGTCATGTCCTTCAACCTTGATTACAACTACTATTAATGGATGTAACGGCACTTCTTTCTTGAATGCACTTACAGGGCGAAGTGGAGACTACGGTATTGCAAGCAAACGGAAGCGAAGTAATGGCATCAAATGGTGAACAAAAGAAGAAAAAGCGAAAACGTAAAAGGAAGTCTCACGGTCTCGATTCCACGCAGGCTACCCAGGGTAGTGAATCTCAGCCTAAGGCGAAGAAAGCAAAAGCTAAGCGTTCACTGAATTCAGAAAAGGTAACTTTTTGATTCAAGATTCGGTATTCAGCGAATATGTTTTCTGATAATATATGATATAGAAGCGAACTGTGGAGGAAATCAATATTGCTGACAGTCGTCTTCGAGCCTACGGACTGAATCCAAAGAAATTCAAGAATAAGCTTAAATTTGGAAAGAAAAAAACTGAAAACTCCGGTTGATTTGTTTGTTTGTTAGTTACCAAGTGTACACAGAAAAGGTGCCAGATGTATTCTTCGTTTTCTGTTTGCCCTCAAAATTGTTAAAGTTGGTCACTTGTTGAAAATATCGTTGTTGAATTTGTTGCTGAAAAAGATTCTTCTATGTTTGTTGAACCATGAAACGGTGGTCTGATTCCATGAACATACCGTATTGTGGAAGGTTTTAGTCTCGCCCATTTTGGTTATGTGATCAGCGCGCTTACGTTTCAGATTTTCGAACAGAGTACTGCCATCAGCTGGGGATTTTCTCTTGTTTTCAAAGCAGGTTCGTTGAAATTGGCACATTGTCTTCCCAACTTAGCTCTTAAGAAAATCTGATATTGTTTTTTTTTCAAGTAATTATTGGTTGATCGTTTTAAACTGTTCAGAAACATGGGTGGAGTTCTAAGTTATTTTCGTGGTCTGTTTGGACAGCGTGAGATGCGAATTTTGATTCTGGGTTTGGATGGTGCAGGAAAAACTACTATTCTATACAGACTGCAGGTATACCCTTGGTTTATTAGTTCATGTATTGGCATCTATGGCTAATTATAAAAAATTGAGGTTGGGGAAGTTGTTACAACAATCCCAACCATTGGATTCAATGTTGAGCAAGTGGAGTACAAGAATCTCAAATTCCAGGTACTTTTTGGCCGTTCTCGGTGAACGTTGTTTCCAATGTAGTGTTTTTTTTTTGAATTTGTACTAAATATGTCCACCACTGCTTCGTATTTATTTATTTTTTATAAAGAAGTTCTACATTTTACAACAAGTCGGAATTTTTGAAAATAATCTCACTGCTATGGTAAAGGTTTGTAGCGAAACTAAGATATAGCCCATCTCTCTGTGTCAACTTTTACCCCTGATATTTGATCGAAATCGCCATAGAGGGCAAAAAACGTTGACTTCAAAATCGACTTGTTTTTGTGAGTTATGATGAATTCAAACATCGATTCAAGTATCGCTACTGGCACTGAATTGAATGACAGATGTCAGATGCATACCCGATCCGCTATCGCTACCGCTGTTTCTATCCTACTTTTGCTGCATTTCTATGCCGGAAATATTGCATTGCTACAACTATAATACCATGACAACTAAGATTCATTGGGGAATCTGATTCATCCATTCAGCGTATCTAATTAAGGTGTGGGATCTTGGTGGACAAACGTCAATTCGCCCGTACTGGCGGTGTTATTATGCAAATACCGACGCCATTATTTACGTTGTCGACTCTGCAGATAGGGACAGGGTAAGCGGCTGAATCAAGAAGAATAATTTTACTTACTGATTTTTTGCATAGGTTGGAATATCACGCCAAGAGTTGGTGGCTATGCTCCAAGAAGATGAACTTCAAGGCGCCATTCTTGCTGTCCTTGCCAATAAACAGGTTGCTTTTATTTTAGCCTACAAGTTTTCAAAACAGTTAAACAAGCTTATAGGATATCCCCAACTGCCTGACGCCTGCTGAAGTCCACAAAGCACTAGGCCTAGAAGCCCTGCGAAATAGGACGTTCCAGATTTTCAAGACTTCCGCTTCAAAGGGAGAAGGTCTCGATGAAGCTATGGAATGGTTGGCAAACAATTTGCAGCAAAAAAAGTAGTTCTATGAAAGCTTTCGACAAGTCATCAATTGACTGCTTATACTCCGCATTAGTTACCGGTCTTTATTGTTTCTCGTGCGTTACTGTGTGTTCCAAATCGCCAAATTGTCCAATTATGTCCGATCATTTTAATCTTTATTTGATTATATGTAATTTATCAGTATCATTACGAGAGTATATGAGCAGTTCCATTTTCCTTCGTCAGGGACCGCGCTTATGGCGTGTTAGGCCGATCACTGAGCGCCTTATCTCGCACTTTTGCCTCTATGCGTAATTATTACTATTATATATGTTTCTGTGAGCGTTGTCTGTGATTTATTACTAACATTATTTTCTATTATCTCGTAATTCTATAAGAGGTCTTTCTCTTGGTTGTGTATGATTACTTTATGGGCTGGAGAATATGGAAGCGCTTTATGGAAGAAGGTGGTTCAGTAAATATGAAAAACATGCAGACAATCCATAAACACAAAAAATACTTCCTCCGCATTGTACAAGCAGTATAAAATGGCCGAGATCCCGGTGACACAGTAGAAGCTTAAGGTTCCTATTTTTTCGATCGCTTCGTCTTTGCGCCATACTTCGCAGCCAGATTATCGAGAAAGGAATCTGCACCGGAAGCGCGTTCAGCTTGTCGTTTGAGAATGAGCTGTTGCAGATTACCTTCACCTTCCTGAAGATGAGTTACTCTACTTTGTTGCGGCGGAGCAGTAGTATACCTTCTTTTCAAAAAAAAAATCAACAACCCACCTTTGCTTTAATCTCCTTTAGTGCTTGTTCTGCTTCAACGACCTCTTTCTCAGCCTTTTTTCTTCGCTTGTTTGTATTAATCTGAAAACCACTATTATTAAGGGGGTGAAACGAAAACGCTAGGTACACAGTTAGCTGTCAAAGCATATTGCATGGCGATTGCCAATACAATTTAATGTCACCTTATTTGTCGATGATTTATATTTGCCAGTTTCCTTCAGGATGCCTTCACTGATTTTTTTGTCGATGATTGCCTAGAAACATTACCAGTAAGAAAGAGATACGAAACTGAAATGAAAGTGTCACTGACTACTAAATTTCATGGTCAACTCCTAAATAAAGCTTGGAGGTCATCATTCGCATAATCACATGGCTCAGTTGGGTAAGTTATTAGGATAAATATACAAGCTCCACCGAAGGGCATGCGAACTTTTTCAAAGAATGCTCATCGCTGATTACTAGGGAGGACGCGGAATCCGAGAATCGAGAAAGAATATCTCTCCTTGATGACATTGCAAAGGTTGAGCATGACTTTAGTAAAACCAGTCATCTCATGATCAGCCGACCCTTACAATGTATACTAGGGTTGACGACGGCTGTATACTTTGCCCTGTGAAAGATCCTTGGTGTTTAGAATGCCACCGCTTCCTTCGTTCGCTTTCGAGTAATTGTAACCATTTTCAACTATGAGCATAAGCTGAACAAACCTTGATCCTCGGTTCGTCTTCAAATGTAGAACACATAATTGAGTTCATTATCATTGTCATGTCTCCTTTCCACGAGTTGTAAGCCACAACAATATCGTTCTCTTCCTCTTCGGATCCTTTACGACATTAGCTTCTCCACATGCACAAATAACAGAAAAGTTGGGACATACCTTGGTACTGCGCAGCGAACTTCTTGATGTCTTCGATTGTTACTTTTTTGAATACCTGTCTCCAAACATTTATGCTCTCCTCATCACTCAGTACGTTTTCGTCATCAACAATTCCTGAAGTGTCAAATATAATAATAATGAAAATTCTGAAGACACGACCACACCAGTTCTGGTTACACCCACGACAGTTCAGCGTTCTTCTCCTACCGGATAAATATATCACTTTCGAATTGGCCCTGCTGGGAGAAAAGCTCATCTAGTCTTGGCGAGCTCTGATATCCGAACAGTCACACATGCTTGAGATACTCGACAGCACTTCTAGCGAACATCCTTACCGCTGATGATTTCTTACTCGAGGAGTCCAGCGTAATAACGACTTTCATGCCCCTAATTGCTACCGAGCCAAGGCCCCAACATATACCCTAAAAACTATAGCGTTCGAATTCATGAAGGAGTGTCTCAGCCAGAAAATGCTGCAGGAACAAACACCTGGATGCCTGCCTTAGGTCCTATTAACTGTTCACGGTTGTCGAGGTAAATGAGTTTCAAATTTTTATGACGATTGTGAATCCCGATCGAAAAAAGAACCTGATCCCTCCTATCGTTTCACACCCCAGTGATTAGCAGAAAAGGTCTACCTGGAGCCCTTTGGCCCAACAGCTATATATACTGCATACTATGGCTCCAAATGTTACATAAGCCTTGTATTAGTTCTGATTAATCACTACAATACAAGTAGGATGAAATGATGATACCTGACTCGTCGTAGAGGGTCCTTCTCTCTTTGTCGGAAAGGATACTGTAGATTCTTGTGATTATCTGGAATTTGGCGGTAGCGTCCTTCGTCGCATCTTCAGAGGAATCAGCCTTGTCGGGATGCCATTTCATGGATTGTTTATAGTAAGCCTTCTTGACTGGAAGAGGAAATAAAGTGAATCAGAGTATTCAAGATTCCTAGAAGCAAAAGACCTACTTTGAGCTACAGTTGCTGTCCTTTCAATTCGTAGAATTTCATACAAGTCCTCGGTGTTGAAGTATTTCTTACAATCGCTCAGCAACATCGCTCACTGTGAAAGGAAAGTTAAAGTTTATCACCAGAAAATATAAATAGAAAGGTGTAAGAGATCATATAGCGGTTCCCAGAGTTGATTGGCGCAAAATTTTGAAAAAAACGAAATGACGCTTGCTGATAAGGGTACATGGAAGCAAGCAGCTCTGACTATCTAGAATGGGCAATGCTCTGCTGTTAAGCGATGGGACGAAAATATATACGTGGCAATAAGCACAACATAAACCGAGAAACTTTATGGATTAACAAACGTTGACTTTTGTTCTACCCGCTAACAAAGTAATCAATAAAATTAGGCGTACAGTTACTGTATCTACACATAGTACGCAATTGCACACTTTTAACTAGTGCTCCAATTATTGGAGATGGCTTTCGGCTTTTGCATTCTAATGCCGTTTCGTGGATTGCTTTAACTCATTCTTTTTTTTTTCAACCCGTAGATCTATATTTGGGTAGGTTTTCTGGTTGAATTTATGAGTAATTCAGATGATTAGAGTACTTTACAGACATGTTTGTTTTCCTCCCCAGCCCAAGTAGGGTAGCTATGCTCGATCTTTTTTCGAAATGTGATCTTGCCTACCAAAAGAAGCGAAAGATTTTTAATCTGCAGGACTTTTTAGAAAGTGTAGTCATTTTCATAATTAGGAGTGGGTTTTCGAGATCTTCGTGTACACCTTCTTGATTCTGAACTAAACATTCCGGCATGACCAGCGATCTACGATCACCATGCAATCATTTTATAATATAAATGCTTTGAATGAACGGTACAGAAGCGTAAGGAAAGCCAAAGTGAACGACTTCTCTTTGGCTTCGAACTTCCGCTCTTCAGGCTAATCCTGATGCCCATGGGTAAAAGGAGTGAGCCCTAGGATTGGGTAAATGCCTTATGCAGAAAGTGCAAGCGCTGCTTTACCTATGTGTTCATAAACTACAGTCTCACTTCTTGCAACCAAACTAGTTTTTTTTAACCTTTTAAAAGGTGTTCCCTAAGGTAGGTGTAGAGGTTGTGCGTCGAAACGCAGGGACTATAAATGCGCCAAATGAAAATAAATGTTACGTATCCATAACCTTTAGGCATTAATCTGCTTCATACATAATGTCGTGATCGCATCCTTGAGATAAGGACTGCGGGAATTCCTGGGGAAGGCTCGAAGTAAATGCCTTTAAAGTCTTATAAGTTCATCGTGTAGATCCATACTTAATTACAATGAACGTACGCTTATCAACATGTCTGAATCTATGCTTGCATGAATTGAAACCCACCCTTTTCATTCGGAATGGTTGAATGTAAAATTGTGTAAAATAAAGCGGTGACTTTATTGGAAAGTTTCCAGTCTATATGGCTTTGAACGTACTTGGGAATGATGGCGCTCAGGAGATTTCCCACGTCGAAGACGATAAAAATGTAAGGGTATTCCCATGTACGGATTATAATCTTTTCTCCTACTTCGTGATTTCACGGTGATGTCAGTGATTTACAGGGAGAGTCGCGGTTAGTTGATATTGATGATCGGGAAGAATACTTTGTGAAACCATTGTACACATACTACTGCAATTGTGGTCAGGTAAGCTGATAGTTGTAGGCTCGACAAAGGGGCTAATGAACCTTATCTTCATATTAAGATGGCAATGATCAGCGATTGCCTCCTTATCCGTATGCCTTTACGAAAGCGTGATGGTGCCCGAGTCATCGATCCGGAAAGAACTACTGCGAAAACGTTTTCCACACCCGGTGACACGGTTTACGTACAAAGGTAGGTCGGTCGGTTTTTTGTTGGGTACTTCAATTTTGCTGATGTGTTCAGGAATTTACGATCATGATTTCGCGTTATCATTCCTGTTTATAGTGAGGATAGTTGCCTTTTTCTCAATTTTTCGCGTGTCTTAAAATTTATTTTACAGACCGGAGGGATTGGAGCAGCAGTACCGCAAAAATTGTAAAGGTTGCGGTGTCCCCTTATTCTATCAGCATCCATACAACCTGAAACTGGTTTTTATATTCCGAGAAGCATTGCTTTCTGCTCAAGAAGTTGGTGGATTCAGTGGGAATAATGAAGAGCAACGGGCAAAGAAGGTTCATTTTTTATTATTCATCGAGGTGAAAAATAAGGTTATCTTTGCCTCTTACGGGAAAATAGACCCCTTTTCACATTCACATCCAGACACCTCAAAGGCTATCAGGAACTTTTTTCACGAGCATTTTTCAGATTATTATGAAAAGGAATGTCAAAAATCAAGGAAAAATGGGATCGGTTACTGTATCTACAATGGAAGGAGAAGAGGAAGAGGAAATCGAAGCGGTAAGGAATAATTTGTTTCAACTTTTTTTTTCTGCTACACAATGTAATCTGAGGGGTTTTCATATGGTTTGACCTAGTAATTCTACTTTATTCAGCGTGAAACTGCGGAGTCCTACTCGTTGAATGCTCGAATTGTTCGAGATGCTCTGAAGAGGAAAGGAATGATCAAGGATAAATTGCTTGGTCGAGAAATCTCAGGAGGTCCAGCTCCTAAAAAGAGAGGAACACTTCTGTGATACCTTCGTTTCAGATAATACTGTGTAAGTTAATATTTTTGTTTCATCCTTACGGGTGACCCCATAAAATCCCAATCCTATAGAAAGTATTTATAGCTATAAGTAGGTTGTTGTGTAGTGTGGTGTTAGGTGGGGATTTTTTCTTACACTTCCGTTCGTCAATTGATATTTTTATGTAGTTTTTATCTGTTAAGTTACAAATTTTCGAACAATTTAAGGAAATCGCAAATTTATTCCGTTCAACAACTGTTGCGGCAATATAGTAATAGCCAGTTTTTTTTTGTCGGTGCTGTGTACTGTTTTTTTCTTTTTCTTGGAAAGGTATCATAGTTATATTCTTGCAACTTGTGTCATGTAACTACAGTAAGAAGTGCAAGAATATTGGCGTAATTATAGGAATGCAGCTGTGTCTGAAACTTTTGCCATGCACCACTATTGTAATCTGCTTGTTTCCAGGATGTCAAATTGTTTGCCGCGAACGACTGTAGATCTCTGTTATTTTGAAAACTGCTCGATTATTTGTATTGTTTCCGTTATATGTTGTTCCATTTGCTCCTCCATGTGCGTTCAGCAGAAAAGCATTTACGGATCGTGTACTACCTTTTGTCATCTAACAGCAATTAAAAAGAGTTTATTACAATAAAATATGGGTGGAATATATAAGTTTTCTTCACTGACATGACGAAACAATTACTAAATGCAAGGGATGGTTTTTGACGAACCATCGCAGTCCTTTAGATGTGATGACGTACTCCCTGAAATCGATATTGTAGTAGAGCAGTATTTGTAGTCAGAATGCTAAGAGAAGTACTGCGCCTCAGAAGTCACTACCATCCTACTTATATAATCAGCTAAGTGTGTCTGTTGGTGTGTTTGCGTGTATGTATGTGTGTGTTCTGTCCCGGAACTCATATCTCCTGTCCCCGCGGACCTGAAGCGTTCAAATTTGGTAGGGGTACAGGCGGCAGGATGGGAACACTTAGGAGGGAGGAGGACCGGACTCCGCCCACAGGGGGCGGGGCTTGCAAAGTAATGTCAAAATGGACCTACAGCGACTTGGTAGGAATACAGGAGGCAGGATAGGTACACTGATGATAGGTTGAAAGACTAAACTCCGCCCCAAAGGCGGGCGTGAATAAGTACTGTTCGTTCGCACCCAGACGTTGAAGCATGAAGGCACAAGGAGTTGGCTGGGGACATTGATGGTAGCTAACATAGTAGACTCAGCCATGATGAAGTCTCTGAATACTTTTTTCTCTGAATAATCGCATTTTCTGATACTATACGGTGTTCTATTCGGACACAGTGAAGATGGCTTACAGAAAGAATCGCTCTCAATTCGGAGCTAATACTGAGGGTGTAGAGCTTTCAAAGAAGAAGGAAAATCCGAAGTATTATTTACGCATAGCAAATTTCTCACGGCATAGCCGGGCGAACCCATAAGAAGGAGGGAAGACCGACTGGTATAGAAGGGATGCCTGTGTGCGGCGGTTCAAAGGTGGCAGTAGGGGGACGGAACATTGCGCGGTGAAACTCATAGCGACTTTGACGACTTTAGCGCCTATTATTGCGGCACAAACTTTAAGTAGAGTAGCTTAGTAGGATCAGCTGATCTCACTAATCTACTCTATTTCAAGGTTGTGCCCCGAGAATAGACGCTAAAGTCGTCGAAATCGCTAAAAATTTCGCAGCGCGCAGTCCGAATCGCACGAATGTACCCGTACCCAGTAGCAGTGTTTACAACCGAATCCTTCAGACAAGGTTCCTCGGCATACACAGTAATCTTTCATTGGGAATTCAAATTTACCGCTCCATGGCGATTGCGCGCGAGCGCGGGCTGTGAACGGGTAGATTTGAATGAGCGCGGCACGCCGTCCACGTAGACGGACCCCCCACCCGCGGGCCATGGCTGTATTCTCATATTGCGCTTTTGGGTGTTCAATAACAGTTCTACTAGCTCCATGTCGAGATCCATGAAAAGTAAGATATCGCTTCACAAAAGATGACAATTCTTTGTTTTCTTAGTATCCAACTGAAACTTCAAAACTGAGCGATAGCGAGGCTTTGATTTTACTACACATTTTTTTCGTTAGATAGTTTCCTAGCTATAAAGATTGATGCTCATATTGGGTAAGCGGGTAAGCTATGATGGAAAGGGAATTTTCACCAAAACTCGCATTCATAGTACCGACGCCAACGTCGGCTCTGGTCTCTGACGCTAATGCCGGCGTCTGCCCAGACGTCGATCGATATCTTGCAGATCGGTGTTTATTGCTCCATTTGGTAATTTATGAGCATTAGAAATGGGGGTTTTGCCTGGTTTTTTCGTTTTTACTACAAGAGCTGGCCGGTTAGGGGGGGGGGGGGGCTAGGCCTGATCTACAGCAACTTTCAAAATCGCTCAAGTAGTGGCTCTAATCGTTACCAAGGCGAAATCCTCAGATTGATTTAAAGCGGTATAGTCCATTCGACCTATCTGAGATTGTTGACCTCGTAAATCTTAAATTCAATATAGTAGTCACTTTGCGCTGAGGAAAATTGCCCTAATCTCAGGTCAACACTCATTTCGAATGTCAATTGGGCTACCTATTCGTTATGACTGAATACACTTCCGAGTGAGCACAGTTAGCAAGCACTACGCACCGTATTCGAGGCAGCTGACCTAATCTATGCTTTGGGAGTTTTCGCGATTGAGGTGAGTTTCTTCCAAATTTTCTTTTTTATGTTTTTTTTTATTCGAAATTCCTTCTTCATTGCTTCCTTCCGCTAACATGTTTTTGGATTTATTTCTGAAGGTCAAAATCTCGTCACAGTCAATACCCATACGCACCACAAACTTCAGAGGAACTTTTGCGAAAGCCTACTGCTCAAGTTTTTTTTAAAACAAAGGCAGTGCTATCAGTTTTATGATCCCGAGAAAAATACACTTACTCTAGTAGAGTTGTATGCATCTATCTTCTTCCGAAGCTTGTTTCCAAGGTCTGGGTGGACCTGAAACATTGATTTGCTCAACAACCTTGTTGAATAACTGTAAAGGATAGTTAGAAGGTTTATCAAGTCCATGTAGAATATGACCTACGGCATCGCTACGAGGAAAGAAGATTCAAGACGGAAACGGTGCTATTTATAAACTGAGGGGCGGCTGCGAAATTCGTTGTGGGACCGCAATACCGTAACCCGCGCTCATGTGCTTAGTCGCAGCTGGCCTAAACTTAAAAGTGAAATGAAAGCCACCAGGATGGGGAATGTACAGAAAAGGGAAGGTGTTGGGTTTTAGTTGCAGGTTATGAAAATAGGTAATAATCAGTAA